TAACAACTTATACATGTTACGTAATTATTTTACATAATATATATAATTTAGATATATTCATGCTATTCATCTCTTTGACTGCTCTTAATACCTACTAAACAAGATTTCAACAGAAAGAAAGAAAAATGCTAGTAAAAGATTAATTATTTTATGCCAAATTTTTTATTCGGAAATATATGAAAGAAATATACATAAATATAAATTTAAAGACGTATTCAATTATCTTGCTTAATACATTATTCTAAGCACATTCTATGATTTTGAAAGATACTTCAATGAAAGATAAGTCTCTCAAATACGTGCAGTCAGTCATTCGGGAGAGGTAACCAAACCAAGCGGACAAGAAATTCCGTTATATCTTCTCGAGGTCAAGAAAAGAGGATGCTACATTCCCTCAGCAGCAGTGCGGAAGGCCACTAGCTGGCAAGTTATAAAATATGGTGGGAGAAGACAAGGACACATATAATATAGAATCGATCAAAAGTTTGCGCGCCGCGGAAGAAAAAGAACAAATTTTTTTCATGATTTATTTCACATTACTTTTGAATTCTTTGCGTCTGTCTTGTCTCTCTTTATCTCACTTAGTCTTCCTTTCTTGCCACGACGCGTCTGGACTTTCATTCGATATGATACGACGTTTTGATAATATTGATTCCTCAAGAGTACGCGATGCGATCGATCCGATATATAGTCTATTCCTTCTTTGATCTCTCATCCTTTCAATCGCAAAATGTATCGAAGTACCGTGACCGCGACTTTGGTCGTGGCCTAGATCCCAATCGCGGTCATGGCCATGACCATGACCACGATAATGTCCATAGTTACGGTCATGATCACAGACACAACCGTGATAAAAAATTACCTCGTCTCGAAGAAATTAAATTATTCGGAACGCGCGGGAACGCATGTTTCCGCGATGCCGATATTTTCATACGGAACGATACACGTGACGAATCATGACTTTTGTAAAATATGTATAATATTCTGCGATGTGTTATTTTTCTAGATCGCGTCAGAGCTCAATTAATTTTTTAACACGGAAAAAAAAATTAGCTGCCGTAGCTAAAAACTGCGCGTGGTAACTAGATTTCAGTCGTAATATGGACAGCGAACATCTTAGCTGTGACACCTATTTATTAGGTGCAACAGCGAACATCTTAGCTGTGATACCTATTTATTAGGTGCAACAGCAAACCGTTTTGCTGCAGTTTAGAAATTTATTTTGCAAACCATGATTAGCTATGGTAGCGAAATTTTTTTTTTCCGTGTACACTTGCAAAGTTTACGCTCAATTTCACGTTCACATTACAATTGCTATAAAAAATTATTAGAGCAACGATAAGGCAACATTTTTTCTTTAGGTTTTCTTGAAAATTCCACTAATTATAAAATAAACGGAAAATAAATATCTCTCTCAGTATTTTTATGTGGAAATATCATAAATTATATTGTTTAAACTGGTGAAAGAGTTATAGAATGCGAATAAGAAACGCTGCTCACTTAAGCGAAGAATATTACGAAGGCTAGGAAGACTCTTTCTCATTGTTTTGATATAAAATGATGTATTTCTGAGAAAACATTGTGTGTGACTTTGTAATTACTCAAGATTGAATGTATGTTTGTACGCGCATACATAGAGACGCGCATACATTTTCATTATTCACATTAATCTCAAGGATTAGCAGCTAAATTTATACCACATAAATTGATTTTAGAGTTAATTTGCGTTTCAACAGGTCTTACATGTCTGATTATATTAAGAGAATTGTATGTGCCATTGTAACTACATGATCAAAAGATCTTTCTTGTCTCTGGATTGTATATTATATCTAATTATCAATTTTTTTTTCATACAACCACCAAAGTAAACAGAAAAAATATATTGCATCTCGCGTCATAAAAATCAAAAGAAAGATAATAAATCGAAGTAAATCTCATTTTTTTTTAGTCCAAGCAAGCAACATCCTCTCTATCGTTTCCACAGTACACTTCTTAAATTTATTTTTGGTCGATAATTTCCGACTTTATTTTTTGTACGTCTCGTACATTCAGCTTCCGGTGAAAGTCGCTACATCTTTCTTCGCGCACATCTCTTGTCCCTGTATAATACCGGTTGTTAATGGCATTTGAGCAAAAATCTGCGACGTACGTATAAAATTACTTTTAATTTAAGCTTTATATTTGTGCGGTAAAAAATTATAATCATCATGAATCTTTCCGACCCATTCATTCAAATCTACGCAAACTAGGACGTTTCATTCTTTATTATTATTTGCGGAGAAAGTTTCAAGTTTCTATTACAACGAATGCAAATAATTCTGCCAACAATTCTTTATCATGTCTTTCAAATAATTTACAATATACGAGAAAAAGATACGTTATTGTACCTTTTTTAATATAGATAAATTAATAAAGGATTATAAATAGATATATATTAAAGAAAATAAAATAGTACAAAATTATTACTTACTTTTTTTATATGTATAAGTTTTCACATAAGAATGGCGTTTATATGCAATCATAAAATTATGAAACAATCGTGTTTTCATTCGGTTTTTTATATATTGACTTATAGATTGATCAGAAATGTTAGCAGTATTTCTTATTTTTTATTTTCCAGACAAGATTTAATAAATATATATTTTACTCGAGAGATTGATCTTTTCCGTCTTTTTGAAAAGAAACAAAACGAAAGAATTATTATACATATTAAATTGACTCTCGGCGTGAGTTCTTAGAGTCATTTATCATTATAATATATTATATGACGTATCACGATGGAAAGAGAAAGTTTAGAATGAGACTTGCTATTTTTTCTAATTCTCTGCATATTGTAATGTAATTTATTAGCATCATACTATTATAGCGATAAGGCATAAAAAGTTCCCGGATAAGCACGTCGAGTTTATCATTGATAAGAATCGAAGGAATGAACTGAAACGTTTGAAACAAACCGTTAAATGAGTCCTAGATTCTTACTGACCGTTTCTTTCGTCGCTAATAAATTGAAAATTCAAGAGCTTTTGTCGTCTCTACAACATATCTTTGCCGGTTTTTTACTTCATTAACAATCTTAGTCTTTCAAGACATCAAGTAACGTTATTAAACAGCAACAGGGATAGAAAAAAGTGACCATTGACCAGTCTTTTTTTTTTTTTTTTTTTTTTTTTTTTTTTTTTTTTTTTTTATATAGATTTTTGTGAAGCGGGTTCCACATAGA